GAGGAACTCTGCACTCTTCTTAGGCCAGTGCCCCTGAGTCCAGCCCCACTGCTTGGCCTGGGCACATCTGCCAACGCCACCATTGTAATGACGGAAGGAGACACCCTGCTTCTTCAGAGTCACATCCTTCAAATACTTGGTAGCTTTGCAGATGTGCATACCCTTGATAGCCTGAGCAGTCTCACGTGTGTTCTTGAAGTAAACACAAAGGTTGGAACCCCTTGATTTGCATGATTTCGTGGGATTCTCTGGTTCCAGCGAATACTTATTATTATTATAAGTACACTGTATTATTGAATGATAACTCCCATCATCCTTCACTGCAGGATATGTAGGCTAGGGCTGATAAGAGTAGGAGTTCTACCATATCTGCAGGGTCATAGTTTCCCCTGATAATGGAAGCAAAATATGATAATCTCTGGTTAATCTTTGAATGGGAGACTGCTAGTGAATGCCAGGTGCTATAGGTTACACATCCCTGCTCCCCCCCCCCCCAATATTGGTTTTTAGGCCTGTTACTGGGGTTATTTGGGGCAGTGATTCAGAAAATTGCATTGGATAGTTTGTATCAGCTCTAGTTTCTAAGATATGGTCGTCATGATTGTCTGTGGGTGAGCAGATGGAAACTGGTGTCTGACATATTTTCTTTATCTCATAAACTATAGCTGATAGGGGAAAACTGATGCCATTTTTGAAATCAGCAGATCAGATATACCCAGAAACGTGGTGAACATTTAAAGCACCAAAATGTGTGTTGGCTAGGGTTATCTTTCTGGTGAATACAAAACCACCACTTATTTCTTACCTAAGTAATCCTATGGAATTCACAGGATCAACATAAGCCACCAAGCAGCTTGAAAGCACAAACATACATGCACTGTATACAAGGCTATCCTCTGCTCTTCCTCTGAGACCAGGGAAATGACAGTTGGGAATGGAGAAAGAACAGTACTTTCATCCAATTCTGGGCCTGGATCTGGGCATTATGGAGCTGTGCCTGCATCTTCTTCTTTCCTTACGAGGTCAAGGTAGTGGCAGTAGAAGTGGTGTGGGGGCCTCTGATTCTGTTCAGAAGATGCATCTCTTTCCCTGTCTGGGTGGATCTACTCTGTTGAATTAATGCATTTTGGGACTACACTAACTGGCATAAATCATTGCTGTGGACTCATGAGAGTTGTAGTTTTACACGGTTTTTAACTGTCTCTGCCAAATAGTGCTGGAGCTTTCTAAACTACAACTCTCATGATTCCATAGCATTTTGCTGTGGCAGTTAAAGTGAAGTACACTTACATTAATTGTACAGTGTAAATGTAGTTTCGCTCTTTCATTCTTTCTCTCTATGTTGGACTTACCTCACTCTAAGTGCGAAAAATAGAAAAGGCCAATGAATGGCAAATTTGGATGAGGAAGAGGAATCTGAATGCAGCCAAGTGATCCCATTTTTTGAAAACTAATCTGAAAATGGTTCAGAATGGCAATTTAATGATTGAAAGTTACACCTCAAACTACGTATTAAGGTTATATCAAATAATAATGTAACTCCACAAAAATTATAATGAAATAGAATCTTTAAAAAATTTAGTCCTTCAGATAAGTGTTATAAATACATTTATTTGAGTTAAATCAAATAACTATCCTTCTTACTTGATAGCTATATAGGATTGTGCTGTAAAATTTCAGTCCTAATCTTTTTTCTTATTTAAACTCTACTGAAGTAAAAAGGAATTAATTGGTGGTTTGGCATGCTCAAAATTCCTGGTTGCTTATTTGAATGTTGTGTCATCCAACTTTTTTTAGATTTTATTTTAATTTTAGTTTTTATAGCACCATGTACAGTGATGGTGCTATATAAATAAATAAATAAATCATTGAGTAGGAAGAGGAGCAAACTGGATCTGGACCATGTAATAAGGAGGTTAGTCATCAAGATCCTACATTAAACTAGAGCCCTCAAACTTGCTATTTGCAATGTGGGAAGACCCCGCTTGACACCAATGGGTGACTTTTTCCCCACTACAAATCCTGCTGTTAGCTCTAGCTCTTACCAACCTAGCAGGTAGAAAACATGCAAATTTGAGTTGATCAATAGGTACCACTTTGGCAACCATGCTGGCAACATGACCAGGAGGTGTCTATGGACAACAGGCTCCACAGCTTAGAAATAGAGAAAGAGCACCTCCCCATGGCTGGAGTTGAGCACCATCTCCAGAAGTCAGAAATAAAAGGGGAATCCTTTACCTGTGTTCTGTATATTTTTGTGTCATTGTTATTTCACTGTATTAAATGTGTTGAATGTTTGCCTATCTTTGTATGTTGTAATCTGCTTTGAGTCCCCTCGAGGAGATAGAACAGAATATAATCTTTTCACCACTCTTAATAACTAGTTTGTAGCTTTTCTCCATGCTATTGAGTCTCTTTTTTTCTTTGTGCGGCTATATAATTGGGTTGTTGTAGGTTTTTTCAGGCTATATGGCCATGTTCTAGAGGCATTCTCTCCTGATGTTTCGCCTGCATCTATGGCAAGCATCCTCAGAGGTAGTGAGGTCTGTTGGAACTAAGAAAAAGGGTTTATCTATCTGTGGAATGATCAGGGCGGGATAAAGGACTCTTGTCTGTTGGATTTAGGTGTGAATGTTTCAACTGACCACCTTGATTAGCATTTGATGGCCTGGCAGTGCCTGGGGCAATCTTTTGTTGAGAGTTGATTAGATGTCTTTGTTTGTTTCCTCTCTGTTGTTTTGCTGTTGCAATTTTAGAGTTTTTTTAATACTAGTAGCCAGATTTTGTTCATTTTCATGGTTTCTTCCTTTCTGTTGAAATTGTCCACATGCTTGTGGATTTCAATGGCTTCTCTGTGTAGTCTGACATGGTGGTTGTAAGAGTGGTCCAGCATTTCTGTGTTCTCAAATAATATGCTGTGCCCAGGTTGGTTCATCAGGTGCTCTGCTATGGCTGACTTCTCTGGTTGAAGTAGTCTGCAGTGCCTTTCATGTTCCTTGATTCGTGTTTGGGCACTGCGTTTGGTGGTCCCTATGTAGACTTGTCCACAGCTGCATGTTATACAGTAGACTCCTGCAGAAGCGAGAGGATCCCTCTTGTCCTTCGCTGAATGTAGCATTTGTTGGATTTTCTTAGTGGGTCTGTAGATTGTTTGTATTTTGTGTTTCCTCATGAGCTTCCCTATGTGGTCAGTGGTTCCCCTGATGTATGGCAAGAACACTTTTCCTATGGGTGGATCTTTGTCTTTACTCTCGTGGCTTGTTCTCGGTCTCGCAGCTCTTCTAATGTCTGAGGTGGAGTATCCATTGGCCTGTAGAGCCCAGTTGAGGTGGTTCAGTTCATGTTGGAGGAGGTGGGGTTTGCAGATTCTTTTTGCACGGTCTGCCAAGGCTTTAATGGTGCTTCTTTTTTTACTTGAGTGATGATTGGAGTTTTTATGTAGATATCTATCTGTGTGTGGGGGTTTTTCTGTAAACGGTGTGATCCAATTGTTGATCTGGTTTACGGATGACTAGGACATCTAGAAAAGGCAGTTTTCCTTCATTTTCTTTTTCCATGGTGAATTGGATGTTTGTATGGATGCTGTTAAGATGGTCCAGGAACTTGTTGAGTTCTTCTCCATGGCTCCAAATGGTGAAAGTGTCATCCACATATCTGAACCATATAGTGAGCTTTTTTGTTGCTGTTTCCAGGGCTTGTTTTTCAAAGTGTTCCATGTAGAAATTAACTATGACCGGGCTGAGAGGGCTCCCCATAGCTACTCCATCTTTCTGTTCCTAGAATTCATTGTCCCACTGAAAGTAGCTGGTGATGAGGCAATGGTGAAACAGAGCTGTGATGTCTTCTGGGAACTTCTGGTTGATTAGTACAATGGTGTCTGCTACCAGGACCATGGTAAATAGAGACACCACATCGAAGTTGATCAGTTTGTCGTTGGTATTTAGCTTGAGATTGCTGTTTTTCTCTATGAAATGGGCTGAGTCTTTGATGTAGTGTGTAGTGAGCCCAATATGGCTTTGTAACTGCAGCAAGAAATTTTGGTAAGTCGTATGTGGGGGATCCAATGGCACTCACGATGGGTCTGAGTGGGGTGGAATCCTTATGGATTTTTGGGAGTCCATAAAGTCTAGGTGGAAGGGCTTCTGATTTACATAGCTGTTGTCATATGTCGAAGTGGATCGAAGAGTTCTTAATCAGAGTGTTGGTTTTTCTGGTTATTTTGGAAGTTGGGTCTTGTTTAAGTTTTCTGTATATATAAAGGCTATATAATTGATCTTATCCTGCTTTAAATGACTCCCGAAAAATACTTTTCTCCAGATTTTTTTAAAATTAGAACTCAGTAACTGGCCACCACTTATTATTGTTTCAGTTGTTGACAACTTTTATGTTATCATTAGCATTCCAGTTCTAGTCTCTAATTTTCAATAGTTAAATTTCATTCTTTTCATGGTTGTTCCTTATTCTGGGTTTATGTACTTGCTGTTGATTGTATGGATTTTGGTAATTCTCAGTTAATCATTTGTGTTAAATCTATCTATAATAGTTCAATACAATACAATTTTATGTTTCCTTGATTCTTAATGAAGTTGTTTACTTTTAGTTATTTGTTGTATTCTGCTTTCAATGTTTCTTTTAATGGTGATATTTAATTTCGGTCCTTACAATCTCAAAAAATATATTACAAAGCAGAACAGGATGGCAAAAACTGTGAGAAGTCTAGAGCAGCTTAAAACAGGCATAAGAAAACTAAGGAGAAGATATGATCAGAGATTTGAAAAGTTTCTTCTTTTGATTATAACTTCTAGAATCTCCCAGCCATTATTCTAAGGAAGGAAGGAAGGAAGTCTCTGAACATTGCAGTTGTGAGAAAGAGTACTTTCCCCCAGTCATGCAAAAGAATGGACAGCGTTTTGTTGACATTTTTTCTCAATTACTGTGCAAATACTAATCTGAGGGCGAAGTACAAATAGATAAAAATAATTTTCTATTTTTCCTTCCAGAAACAATTTGACACAGATTCATAGAAATGGATTGTAAGTATTTTTTTCTGTGTTGATACCTTGGAACATGCTTTAGAACAGCCTTCTGCAATTGGAGACTTATGGCATATGTTGAATTGTGATCCATGTCATCTACCAACTATTTTTTTTCTTTTTCCTGGCTTTCTTTGGCTGGGTCTGATTGGATTATTTAACAAAATTTGAAAACAAAATCTGTTCCTGGTTAGAAAGTGTTCTTTCCTGTTTAATTGTGTGGTACTTACTTTAAAAGTAGTCGGTATACTCCAGAAACTTCATTTTTTTGTGTACAATCACAGCACCTCCTGGCCTGGAAGTCAGGCAGGCAGGCAAGCTGCTGTGAGCAGAGGATCTCTTCCACTGCGTCAGCTGTGTCCTCTGCTCATTGTGTCCACCTCCGCAGCCAGCGCAGGCCTCTGCAGCTAGATTCACTCAAGCCTTTCTTCTGGCGAGGCCGCCTCCAGCCTCTGTCTTCTGCCTCCAGCCGAGTCAACAAGCTGGTGAGCACACCCACTGCCACTTCCGGTGAGGCCACCTCAGGCCTCCTTCCTTATATTGCTGCCTTCCTTCCTGGGCCCAGCTGAGGCCCAACAGGGTGTCTGGCCCATGCCATGCTGCTTCTGGAGCTTCCCAGAGGTTGGAGACTGAGGCCAGAGGCAGCGTTGCCGGAAGCGGCAGCAGGTGCACTCGCCAGCCACTGAGTCAGAGGCTGAAGATGGAGGCCTGAGGTGGCCTCACCGAAAGTGGCAGCGAGCATGCTCACCAGCCATTTCACTGGCCCAAGGCTGAAGACAGAAGCCCAAGGCTCACCTGGGGGGCTGCAGTGCCACAGCCACCACTCCTCCTCCCCCTCCTCTTCTTCCATAGCCAGCCATCCAAGAAGTAGGAGTGGCAGTAGCAGTGGCGGCAGCATTGTAGCCTCGCCTGCGGGCTCCACTGCTGCTTGTCCTCCTCTTCTGGGCCGTGTCATGGAGGTGAAGGCTAGCTGGATTCGGAGCTTTGCCCCCAGGTTCCGCTGCATGGCTTGACTCGAATATAAGCCGAGGGAGGCTTTTTTCAGCCCCCCCCCCAAAAAAGAGTGAAAAAAACAGCTTATATTCGAGTATATATGGTACTTTTTCAGTGGTAAGCATGACTGCCCCTTGTTTAAAGATGAAGAAAGCTTGTTACAGTCAGTATTAAAAGATTGCCAAAGTAGTTCAATTCCATTTAGTTGTGTATTAGGCAGGGTAATTGATGGTTTGACAAGTTCCAGTAAATAGCTGCAAAACCAAACCACCTTTCTCTTATTCACTCACCATCATCTAGACACCCCATTCCCACCTGACTCCCTTTACAGATTTTTCCAACTGCCATCAACTGACTCTTTGGCCAGAGGGGCACCCTGTTTTTCTGTCTTCCTTTCTCCCACAAACACCCCCTTTCTCCTATCACAGGATTCTCTGTGTTGAGCTAGGCTGCTTTCAGTTATTCCCAAACATTATTTCACTTTAACACAATCACTACTAAGTAACGTATCTGCAAAGGGTTTTTTTTCCTTCCTTCCCTCTTATCCCTCTATAATCCCTCCAATTTTACCTGTGAGTGCACACATAGAGATTGATTTACCTATTGTTTTCTGTGGTCTGCACAAATGGAAGAAATATGGAAATGGAAACAATGCAAGCTTATATTGGCATTAGCAGGCATTTACCTTCATAAATATAATATCACACAAATGTTCTAAGAACTATCTAGACATAGATAATGGGCTGATGTTTTTCAAGTGCTTGAAATAGCCTTTTATTTTTTCCAGCAAAGAACGCAGCACCCGGATACCCTGGACCCCCAACGCAATATGGATATCCTCAGTATGCTCCTGGACCAGGCCAATATCCACCTGGACCAGGCCAATATCCACCTGGGCCAGGTCAATATCCACCTGGGCCAGGTCAATATCCACCAGGGCCAGGTCAATATCCTCCTGGACAAGGACAGGGTTTTGCAGGTAAATTATTATTGAACACACTGTACATATATCTAAAGAAATTAAATCCTATTGTGAAAATGGCTATATCATGTTTTGAATTCCTGTAGTTAGGGATGATCCAAGTCAATCCTAGTATTATCTCTAACTCAGAAACCAGCTTTGGAGGGTAGTATGCTGCCATGAGATGACACCTTGACCACCTCTTTGTTGATCCGCAATTTAAATCATATACATACAGAAATATACTTGCACACACAGCTATAATAAATGTTAGAAAACACAAATATTAGTTACTGATAACATTATTTTATTTATTTATTTATTTATTTGCTTTATTTCTATACCGCATTTTTCAGCCTAACTCGGCGACTCAATGCGGTTTTTGGCGACTCAGTGTGGTTTTTCCGCATTAATTTTCCAGAGTCTCTAAAACTGAGTTTGTTCTTTACTTTAGAGAAAGAATCAAGTATATGCTTTCATTATTTGGATTACTTGAAGAGAGGCTATTAATTTCAAAAGAATTTCATTTCTTCTAGCATTTGCTTTCATCCAAGTTATAAAGAGAAACCTATAAGCTACGTAGTACAAAATCCCAGTTGTCAATGGGAAGTTAGTAACATGACTATTGTGGAGAGGTCAGATGCAGTTCATTTCTTTCACATCTCTCTTGTCAGATAGATGGAAGACTGAAAAGAGGGAAGTAACAATGGGGTGATATGGGAGATCTGGATTATATCTTACATCCAGTGCTTGTTGATATCCAAGGATCTGCCAAAATCTGACATTTTTTTGGATTTTTTGGTTTTCTGATTCCATAATTATTTTGCATTGAAAGCTGAATGACACTGAGATTTTCCTCTTAGTTTAAGAGAGGTTGCTCAGGATGAAAGGCAGGCAAATTGTGGCTTGCAAGTCGGATTGAAATGCCCATAAACCCTTGCTTCTGGGTCCTGTAACATTTGCAGGAGCCACCAATTTCCATCTGGATGCCTTGCAATTGTAAGACTGAATGCATGTAACTAATGTTGCCCTGGCATTGAAAGCCCCATGGGGCACTTAAAATGATGTGGTCAGGCTGCATTCATGTGTGGGTTAAAGCATTTCTTGGCTTGGAAGCCAAAACAAAAGAAAGGTAAAATAAAGGGTTTATCTAAAGCAGTGGTTCTCAAAATGTGCTCTCTGTGGCGGCTTCATGAAGCATCCCTCCCACCACTCAGGGAGTACTTTGTGCTTTTCCTGCATGGCAGAAGGGAGTTGAACTGGATGACTCCTGGTGTTGCTCCTGTTGTTGTTGCTGTTGTTATTATTACAAAGGCTGGGTGGCCATCTATTGGGGGTGCTTTGATTGTGCTTTTCCTGAATGGCAGAAGGGAGTTGAACTGGATGCCCCCTGGGGTTGATCCTATTATTATTGTTGTTGTTGTTATTATTATTATTATTATTATTATTATTATTATTATTATTATTACAAAGGCTGGGTAGCCATCTCCTATGGGTGCTTTTACTGCATGGCCAAAGGGGTTGGTCTGGATGGGCCCTGGGGTCTTCCACTAGAATACTGTTAAGTTTATTTTGGTCACAATGTTTGCCCACGTCTGTAATAGATAGATAGACAGACAGACACACACACACACACACACACACACACACACGTATTATACATAATATAATATATAATATATAAACATTTCTTGGGGCTCCATGAAAAAATTTGCTTCAAAAAGAGCTCCATGGCTGAAGAAGTTTGAGGGCCTCAAATCTAAGGCATTTTAGTAGCTTAGTAAGCTTGATTTGCCACATGGCATAATTTTTCAGTTATCGTGATTGTGTGCCTTCAAGTTCCTGTTGACTTGAATTGCATAGAGTTTTCTTAAGCAAGGGATCCTCAGAAGTTGCTTTGCCAATACACTTTCCAAGAAGTGGTTTTGCCAGTTTCTCCCTCCAAGACACAGCCTACAGCACCTGGTATTTGTTCATGCCTTTAGGGTATTTATGATCATGACTGTTATCTTGTATTTACCTTTGGACTGATTGAACTCCTAGGGCCTTTCCAGACAGGCCCTTTATCCTGGGGTTTTCTGCTTTAAATTGGATTATATGAGTCCGCACTGCCAGATAATCTGGGATAAACAGAAAACTTGGGATCAGATCCTGGGATATAGGGCCTGTGTGGAAGGGCCCTACATTTGCCAGATTGAAACCAAAAGGGATCATGTCAATTTAACAGCTGTATAGAAGAGATTGCCGCACAATCATGTGTGGCAACACCTGAAACTCCCACTTTACACAACCATGGAAGGTACAGGAGCACTTGTCAGTTTTCACTGTCACAACCTTGTTCACTCAGGTATTATGAAACAATAGAAGTTTCATACATATTTACTTCACAAGAACCCATCAAGTCAGTCAGTCTATCTAACTGAGTGTTTAACTCAGTGTCAGTCAGAGAGCTTTTGCTGTTTTGTTGGTTAGTTCAAATGGAAGAGTAAAATTGTTGTATTTTTCCCTCTGACTTTGACATTCAAGTGCTGCTGTACTCATTTAATTATTTTGAAAATATCCCACATTTCCAGTTAACTGAATGAAAACCACACAGTCAATAACAAAGATACCTCACCACCATAGTAGCAAACCATAGTAATAATAATGGTGGAAATGCATTTAAATAGTAAATATTAGAACTGAAAAAGCAAGGGAGAAGTAGAGATTTTCTAGCACCTGAAATTCTGGCCCTTGAAAGAGTCAACAAATGATGGTACTAAGTGCATCTTCATCTGGATAGAATTTCAATGTTGCAGTGCCAGGATATAAAATAGCCCCAACTCCTGTGACTTCTACTCTAAATTTCAATTACAAATGATGTCCTCTGGTGAAAACCTTAATTGATGGAGTCATAGAATCATAGATTTGGGAAGAGACCACAGAGGCTAGCCAGTCCCAAGTCCTGCCATGCAGGAACACATTATCAAATCTCACAACAGCGCATGAGTGGATCTTCTCTAATCTCTGATTGTTTAGGATTTTAAAACCAAAGCCAGTTGTGGAGAATGTAGAAACAGTTTTATCTCTCTCTACAATACTTAAACCTATAACAAACTTTGATAATATACACACTGAGGAGTTAAATATATAATGTCCTTTGGAGTATACCAGATTTATGTAGTTGCCAGATGATGAAAATGATAATAATAGTAATAATAATAATAATAATAATCTTTATATTTCGCTTTATCTCCCTGGAGAGACTCAGAGCAGACTACAGTACACCTATAAGGCAAACATTCAATACCTTTTTACAAAAACAAAACAACATAAAATAAAAAGATAAGGTAAAGGCCTTCCCCTTTTTCATCTCCGGCATCTGGAGGCAATGCTCAACTCCGGCCATGGGAAGGTGCTCTTGTTCTATTTTCCATGCCAAGGAGCATGCTATTTGTAGACATCTCTTGTCTTTTGCAGGTATGCCTGCATGGGGTGCCCTTTTACCTCCCTGCCGAGGTGGCACCTATTGATTTATTCACATTGCATGCATTTGAACTGCTAGATTGGTAGAAGCTAGGACTGATATTCAGGAGCTAACCCCAACTCGCGGCTTCTAACAGCTAACCCTCCGGTCAGCAGCTTTTCCTGCAGCTAGTAGTTTTAACCACTGTGCTACCACTATAGACTACAATTCCATAAGAGGTAGACAGACTAGAGCAGACATGGGCAAACTTCGGTCCTCCAAGTGTTTTGGAGTTCAACTCCCATAATTCTGAAAAGCCAGTAGGCTGTTAGGAATTGTGAGAAGTGAAGTCCAAAACACCCGGAGGGTCAAAGTTTGCCCATGCCTGGGCTAGAAGCTTGTGGAGTTCTTACTTAGTTTTGGTTTGTTTGCTTGTTTTACTGCAACCCTGAGATCCAGCACCAAGCACCTTGTGCAAATGATACTAATTTAGACTTAAAGAATTCTGAATTGTAAGCCAGAAGTGAACGGAACTCAGAGTCTCTCCACAATCCACTTTCAGTTACACTCAATGTTCTTAATTTGAATAGTCTCATTTAGAGTGGAAGTCATTTTCTCATAGCTGTTGAACAATTGGACATTGGAAATCCTTACTAATCTGTCAGTCACTCAGCAACCCACAGTACACCTATAAGGCAAAGATTCATATAGATGAAACTTCAACACTTTCAACTTAACTGTGTCTTATTTTTGTATAGAAATCCAGGCAGTCCCCAAGTTACATACATATGACTTATATACGACTCATGGTTAAGAACGGGAGTGAAATAACAAGAATCTGCCCCTAGCATGGTAAATTTACTCCTGAAAGAATTATCATGGGGAAAAGGTGTCTCCACTGAAGCTTTTATTACCAATCCTTGTTTGCACAATAAGCCAAAAATTTCAAAATCCAATTATCACAGGGACAGAAAGTGAGGTGAAATCTTCTGAATAGGAGCACAGATAGCAACACAAATGCCAGAGGGGTCTTAGCCCTCTTTGTATTGTCCAAATATATATTTCATCTCACTTTCTGTTCCTGTAATAGTTGGAGATAGATAGATTTATATTTATTTATTTCTGGGGTTACATTTAAAGAAGTACCTGTTCTGACTTACATACTAATTCAACTTAAATACAAACAAACCTACAGAATCTATCTTATTTGTTAGTTGTGGACTGCCTGTAGGGTTGTGCTATAACAGTCTAGGAACTCAAAGCTCCTTCCCAGCATCTGATGCTAGGAGTGAGTGGGGAGGACTACACTTCAGTTGTGCATTTTCTTATTTCTCTGTTGTAGAAGGAAAGAATGCACAAATATGTCCCTGAAAAGTATTACACAGTATGAACCATAACATTTTTTTCTCTTTCTCTCTTTCTCTATTCATGTGTGCTCCAGGACAGCCACCCTACCAACCCATGGGCTATCAAGGGGCATATGGAGCTCCCCCAGTTCAGGGTCAGCCAAATGGTGCTATGTGGATGCCAGCACCACCTCCCCCTGCCAACTGTCCACCTGGACTGGAATATTTGAGCCAGGTATCTCTCCCCCCTTGTTCATTTTTATTCTCATCTGATAACTATCAAGTATATGACTAATAACTTCCATTATTCTTATTCTAAGGTCCCTTCCACACAGCTGTATAAAATCCACATTGAACTGGATTATATGACAGTGTGGACGAAAATAATCCTGTTCAAAACCGATATTGTGGATTATTCATATTCTGGGTTATATGGCAGTGTGGAAGGGCCCTAAGGGGTTGGCAATCACAAAGATCTTGAGATTCCTCACCTTCGTAGATCCAACCACCAGTAGAGTGTTGTGAAAGTATTCAAAACTGGCATATTACCTGTGAAGTTGGCCTCCAATATTGTAATGTGTGTTTAAAAGCTATAGATATATTTCATTTACTAGAGTATGTATCTGATTTTCATCCAAATTTGCAATACTTCACAGAAGTGAATCCTAAGCTTCAAAAAGCTAAGCCAAGGCTCAATCCACAATTAGATACTAAAGCAGGAATGTCACTTCACATAATGTTTTTTGCCAAGAGTTCATGGCAGTGTGTCAGTGATACTATTTATCTGCAACTGCCAGCTACCTTCTTTTATTTGGGATGATGTCAGGTACTAGCAAAAGATGAAAATATGGGCAATGACAACACTGAGAGATGGGTTGAACAGGATTTTTGTGGACAGAGGTAGCAGCTGTCAGAACTGATTGCAATCGCACACAAGCTTCTGCCATATGAAGGGAACCATTCATACAAATTAGCCCAGAATATTTCTCACTCCATGCCTTCTTGTAACATTTATGAAGACATCCTTTCATATTTAAAGTGATATTGAACTGGACCCCCTAATTGTAAATTATGACACATTTACCTGGAAGCTAGTTGGATTAATTTTCAATTTTTTAATGTTGTTTCTAAGTGTGTGTGTTTAGGATTGAGTGAAGAACTTGCAGTGAAAACTCTCAAATCCTTTCTTTAACGAAATGTGTAATGATTTTCTAACAGTTTTGCAATTTATGTATCTATTTTTAATCTTATAACAGATTGATCAGATACTGATTCATCAGCAGATTGAACTCCTGGAAAGTATGTATCTAACTATCTAACACTATTTGATATTAGTAGTAATGTATTAAAAGATACTTCAGATAGTGGTTCCTCAAACCAGCAATGAGGAATGTGTGACTCTCCATATGTTATTGGCTGGCAACTTCCATCTTCTGTTACTCCTGTACTTGCTATGCCATCTAGGCCTAATGTAAATTGCTATATTTGGTCATATATGAAGAGCCACACGTTTCTCATCACTCCTTTATAAGGTTTTGTTGGGAATTTTTAACTTTGAAATCATTTTACTCTTATCTTGGAATAAATCTAATTTAATTCAATGGAATTTACTTCTGAGTAGACATGTTTAGGGGTATATTGTCACTATATTTAGGGCAGGAATGGAAATCATGAGGTCTTCTATATATTTTTGAAAGGCTGCTCTCAGTATTCCTCGCTATTGATGATGCTGGCTAAGGCAGCTGGAAGTTGCAGTCCAAAAACATCTGAAGGATCTCATGATTTCCACCCCTAACTTATAGGACATCTCCAACTGTTATACTTTTTTCTTTATAGTGCTGGGGAGGAATGGAATATGTGTGTTATATGCCCTCAACTTATTTCTACCTTGTGGGAACCCTATTGTAGGCTTTTCTCAGAGATTTTTTTTTTTGAAATGATATTTGACATTGCCTCCCTTTAATTCTGAGAATGTCACTTTCTCATGGTCAAGCATGGGTTACCATGAATGAGCAGGAATTTGAATCCTGGTCCAAGAAAATTCTGCAATAGGTTCACCATAGGTTGGAAATACTTTTAAGGCACACAACAACAGCAAGTCCTTATCTGGCACTAAAACCTCTATACAGGTGATAGGGATGTATTTTCTTCATGTTCTTATTTCACAAGTTTGCAAGACTGTGTTTTATTCTCACACTACATTATGTACAATTTTAACATATTTCCCACACTTACACTTTTTCATTTGCTCAGTCTTCCTGACATTTATCACTTTCCCTATTAAAGTGTGTTTATATATATTCATTTCATTAATGCACCTTTTAGCTTAAATTGCTTTGTCTTTCTGGGAAGTGTCCTGTAAGCCATATAAATACGCTTATTATGCACAATGCATATAAATACATTTATTATGCACAATGCAAAGGCGTCTTGAAATCAGCAAGAGTGATCAAGGGTAACACGTCCTTTGTGGCACAAAAGAAAAGAGAACGATTTTCTCTAGAAACAAATATTTCATATCTTTTTCATCAGAATTTGCAAGTTTATTTTTTAGACTACAAATCTCTGAAACTTCCAGTAAGCATATTACCTGGGGAAATCTAGGAAGTGAGGCTAAACAAGTAACCTTTTCAAGCAATACTATGGGCAAAGCATTGGGTGAAGAAGCTCCATCCAGCTTTTGTCTAGTGTATTAAGGCCACTGTATATGATCATATCATTCACTTTTAGGGGACTCTTGAATGGAGTCTCTCCATAAATTAGGGTCCACCACTATGTTCCTTGACACACAGGCTCTCTCCATGGTTCAGTTAAACTCTTACCTAGTGCTTCCCCATATATAGATTCATTTAATGTTGTGTCCCTTCTAGGTTGAGATAGTGTGTCTTTTAAAATGAATAATGTTCTCTAAAATACAAGGCAGATGTTATGATAAATTAGCAGGTTGTTAACAAGTGACTGCTGTCAAATTTGGCTGATATCTGGTAGAAGACATGGCTCTGCAGATGCTGTTTTTCCACTTCCCCATTGATGGACTTGGGAAGATATTCTACTGAGAAAGGTCCTGTCAGGGAGAGAGCATTTGGTTCAACCCGATTGCTATAGTTCTCTTTTCTTCTTTTTAGTCCTCACTGGCTTTGAAACTTGCAACAAATATGAAATAAAGAATTCTTTGGGGCAAAGGGTGTACTTTGCTGCTG